TTGAGCCAATTCCAAGCGCTTTCCTAATTGTTTTAACTTGAGAATAGAATCAACGTTATGAAGAGCCAACTCTTTCATATATTCCGGACGAATATTATGCATTAAAATTTCTAGCTGTTCTTCTAATGACATGGGAATAGACAATCTCGCAAACATTCCTTGCATCGTGGAGATATAGCTCACAATTGACTCTTGTCTAGCTTGTGTGCGTTGTCTAATTTCGTTTTTAAGTCGATAATCTAAATCCGGAATATCAAAATCCTCTCTTAAGTGTAACAATAGATCAGAATATGAGTTAAAGTTTGCTTTGTTACTTCTAAACCACGCCAATGCAGAATCTTCTAAGAGATCGGAAAATGCTGTCAGCATACGAGATTGCGGAATCTCGCGGGCCTGTCTAAGTTCCTCTAACCTCTCAATAAAACTTCTAACGCAACTCGAACCATTGCATTTTAAATTGAGTGAATTTAAGTTAATTGGTTTTTCTTTAATGACAATTAATTCCTCACTTCCATTTTTTTCATTCATCCTTGTTTTCGAGATGGGCAACACATATTCATCCGTCTCTTGTTCTCTCACATCCTTCATGCCGGTTTTACTACACTTGGGAGTACCTTCCTTGTCACTTAATTCGTCTGAACTACTTTCATCTTCCTGTTCTACTTGAGCTAAGATACGTATGAGCCTGTGGCGCAAATCCACAAGAGAAGCATTGTCAACCTCCAATCGAGCAAGTCTATCGATTAGATAATTAGCCCTAACTGACACACGTAAGTGAAGATTACTGTCCTTTCCTAGGTCACCTGATGACAGCAGATCCTCGAGCTCAGCAATTTTCGGCGTACATGCCTTGAGCTCGCTTGCCGGGAGTGGTGTGATCACTGGAGCACACTTGATGCTGCCACGTCTCTTCAACTTAAAAATTTGGCGAAGCTGCTTTCTCAGTGCATCCACCGATGTGTCAGGAGCTGTGGAAATGCCAAGAATATCCAATTCATATATGATTTCATCCTTTCTTAGGTAGTTTACATATTTTTGTATAGAGAGCATTTTCTCAGATTTTTTTTTTTTTAAGTTAAAGTCAGTTATTTCTGTCACTAAGTTAATTATTAAGTTAATTATTAAATTACGTTTAATCAAGTTTTTAAATCAAGCTACTTATTCAAGTTATTTAATCTAAGGAAGTTAAATACAAAGGAATTTAAAAAATTTTTTTTTTGAAGGAGGGTACTTTTATTATTACAAGTTTCAATTCTTAAAGACTATCTTGTTCACTGTTCAAGGTCAATTTTTTACGCATCCAATCAATACGAAAGTGTTATTGTAGTATAAGTTGATTAATTCTAATGTGCTAAGTTAATTAATGCTAGTGTGTTTTTCAGACTGGTTGGGGATTTAAGCATCTATGTTTCCACCTACCTTTTTATCATCATATTAACACATTAGTACAAATTCTGAATATTAATGATTTTTAAGTTAAATTTTTTTTTTTGATTAGATGTTAAATTCTAGTGTGCCGTTCAGACTGATTGGGGATTTAAGCATTTATTTTTCCGCCAACCTTTTTATCATCATATCAGCACACCAGTATTTCCCTCAAATACAGTATTTTATTGCTCGGCCCCACGTTGGGCGCCATTTTGTAACAATTTTAGTTACCACCGACTATTTCAGGGCGTACATGAGACTCGAAACTTATTTAATTTAAAATCAGGGCGCCGTGATACTGTGATTTGAGGGAGATAAATGAAAATGTCTAAAACAGCAGTGAACAAGATATTATATTGTTAAAAAGATTCAGATCTTATTTCATCATGGTTAAAACTTAATACTAGTCACATTCAAGTTAAAAATACATAGTTATATTTCTTCAAAGATTTTTCTTTTGATTTAAAGCTATTCAAACATTCAAGATCATGTGCTAATACAGTAATACTCAATTTAAGTTTCTTATATAAACAAATTATTAAACAAGTTATAAAATATTAAATTTTGAAAATCTAACAATAAAAATTTGTTATGTACTTATAATGGCTTTATAGTTTACTAATAGAAATCCTTTATCACGTTAAACAGAAATTGTTATCCGGAGTATGCACTGGTTAAATATCAAGAAGTTATAAGTTTTACTTAGCTTGGCAAGATCATGGGAGCATCAGGATCACTCAAATGTCCTCAGGGATGAAGCAGGACTTGCTGTCATCACGTGAACCCGTCACTTTTTTGCTCAAGGAAGCTTCACAGGCTCATATATATATATATTTCCAAGGAGATTCCAATCAGGATCAAGTAAATGTGACTATTACTGTTATTTATTAGCCAAATTAATGGACCTAGAACCAATTACATATTTTTCTATAATTCAATAAAAAACTAACTGGACCTACAGCCTAACGAATCAAATGTATTGAACTTACCCGTTAATCCGGGGAGAAATATTAAGTATATAATGCACTGACTACCACTGCTAGTCTTAATGCTATTTTCTAAGTATGGTCTTCAAGGTTCTATCAGCCAAAAGAGAGCGAATCTGTTTGTGCACTGCTATTTATAGGCTACTACAACACGTGACAGCGTCATTGCAAATTTCTCTCATATCACCATATTTGGTATGAGGAAGCACACGGACCGGTTTTGCTGACTCCGCCTTTCAATGTTTCCAGAACATTAATGTGACGTCACATCCATTTCCGCATCTCATTTAAAAAATTACACACTAGCTCCCTCTAACTTACATTCCAAATGCAACTACTAGGTTCACACATATATTGTACTTGTCCATTGCTTTTCAAAGTGGATTTCGATATTGAATAATTTATATGCATGATGATAGATGGCGCTGAATAAATAATAATATTTCTACGACTTAATATTTAAGAATTATATTGCTAAGTTTTTAACGTTATTAAATTTAATTGCTACAAGATGATTCGGATAAGGAAAATTAAAAATCTTTTACTTTTATTTTCTAGATCTCATTATTCCAAATGTTTAATATGAAAAAATATTTTTCAATTATAATATGGCAATTTCATTTAAGAACCTTATAAAATACCTATTAGTATTAATTAATCGAATATAGTTTTTAGAACATAGTAATTTTAATAGACATTTTTATCGTAAACGCCAAAATAGCCTTAGATTATGATAGCAAAAATAATGTAAGCGCCATAAATAGCATAAATACTTATTATTTTTGTTTCTTCTTCAATTATATATGTAAATGTCTAAAAAATATTATTGTATGTAAAAATAAAAATTACTAACACACTTCTGTGTAAAAATATTTAATAAAAACCATCTCCTGTAAAATTTGGTTTTTGTCGGTTGCGCTAAAACGGCGGTAAAGGCTCGATATATCAGTTGAATTCAGTTATTTGTATCTAAACAATTACGTATGTTACTACGAGTAATTTTGTTAAAAAATGTTGTTATTTAACTGTGAGAACAGAAAAAGTAGTTTAACAAATTTGAAAGTTTAATAAATGAAGTTAAAAAGAAATCAAATTGACTTGAATTAATAAACATTGATATAATTTCTGTATAAGTAATTGAATTTTTAGAAAGATGTGATGTGTTTGTTAGGTATATCAATATTTTTGTATTTTTGATGAATGTATTCAATACGATTTTCCTGTTTATACAGTAGTATTTTTATTGTTTAATATATTTTATATACATATTGTGTATTACAATATTATTCTTCAGATTTCTTTTGTAACCTTTTATCTAAAAATTGTAGCTTATTCCGTAGTTTATTATTTTATTTCTTGTAATGTTAGGTTTAATAACCGGATATACTTATTATTATATATTACTTGCATATTATTTTTAAAAGTGATTTAGAATCAACAACAATATAAAAAAATGGTTTCTGTTTTGTTTTTACTGATATCTGGATATATTACTTGACTGGATAGTTAATAATCTGTGTTAAATTTTATAGAAGTGAAAACCGGCAACAACATAATTATAAAAAAAAAAAAATCTTTTTACGGGGGAGGTGTAGTGTGTGTACTATATGTGTACATATGCATACACGCATCTCTCCCAATATATAAAGCATTGTAATACTAATAAATGCTCTCTTTAATCGCAGTCAGTTGTTTTATTTAAACGCCCCGAACCGCCAACACTGCAAATGATTGTGAAGCAAAGTTACAGGAACTGTTAGAGATCAATTATTTCTTTACAAACTTATTAATGACCTTGTAGATTCGCCGTTCCTTTTGCAGAGGATTGGTTTCCGTTGTCCAAATAGAACTAGGTCTGACAACACGTTTGTAATACAATTCAGCAGGACCAAGCTTGCTGCAAATAGTTTCATTCCTAGAGCATGTCACAGCTATAATAAATACTTCAGGGGATTGGATATATTTTGCCTTTCTAACAAACAATTTAGAAATGAATCCTATAAGGTCGTTTTACCCTAACACTTAGTAATTATTTTCTTTTATTCACACAATTCTAAATATTGTACGTAATCTTAAGTAAATTATGTAAGTTTATGAATGTTTCAGTCTGTGGAAACTTAACTGGTTTATGAAATAGTAATAAGTGTTACTTAAATGATTTGTGTAAAACGGTATGTTTCCCAAATGAAAATAAATAAATAAAATAAAAAAAGCAGTGGCGATGGCGCAAGTGAAACAGTTGAGGATAAAACAGAAAATCACGAAATAGTACAACTTGAAAAGACTGAAATAGTTGACAATAAAACAGAAAATCACGATATAGTAGACACGATAGATTTGTGAGACTGATAATTAACAAAAAAAAACTATTTATTAAGAGTTGAACTTGTGTCTGATTATTAAATAAGTTAATATTATTGTTTTTGTTCAATATATATATATATATATGTAGTTTGATTTGTTTTTTTGTTGTTTATTTGTCGGATTATTAATATGTGAGTCACGATTTATGAAAGCTATATATATATTGAACAAAAACAATAATACTAACTTATTTAATAATCAGACACAAGTTCAACTCTTAACAAATAAATAGATTTTTTTTAATTATCAGTCTCACAAATCTATCTATTATTTATCTTATTTATATATATATATGTAATTTGATTTGTTTTGTTTGTTGTTTATATATGTGTTTAATATGTGAGTCACGATTTATGAAAGCTAAAATACCTTCTTCACGTATGTTACCGTGTGTTACAAATTCACGACTGTTACTGTACAATTTTTGGCGGCCATACTCGAAAAAGAATCACTTACGGTTTTAATAATGATGACTGCATCAGGGAAAGTATCTCTCCACTTGTAGTTTTTCCATACATAAAACCGCCGAAAGCGGTTGTAGAAAATATGCCAGAAGGTTGGATAATAGGAAAAACTGAATCAGGTTGGATGCGTTCAGATGTATTTTACTAATACATTGCTAATGACTTTAATGACTGGTTAGTGAAGAATAACATGAAAAAACCAGTAATCCTTTTCGTTGACGGACATAAATCACATATGTCGATGGCTAAGGCCAGACTTAAGAGTCTCTTTTGTGATGAAAACGGCATTGTTTTATACGCTTTACCTCCAAATACTACTCATATTATGCAACCAGCCGATGTAAGTGTGTTTAGACCATTAAAACAAGAATGGAAGTAAACTTTAAGAAACTGGCAAGCCAAACCGGAAAACCTAAATAAAACCGTGACGAAGATAATTTTTTGTAAAGTATTTAAGGAAACCCTGGATGTAGATATGACACAAACTATTAAGAACGGATTCAGAAAGTGTGGGCTTTTTCCCTTCAATGTAAATGCAGTGGATTTCACGAAATGCGTAAAAGATTTTCAGGAAAAAAGGAAGAAAAGATCACTATCCTCCAGCGGATTAACGGAACCAGATTTCGCAAGTGCAGTAAAAGTGGTTGTATTGATAAAAGAAAATTTATTGAAGAGAGGGATTGATCCAGATACGGTCTGTAATGAAATAGAATTGGCGAAGTCATCCTTCAGTAAAAATCGACGGTCTACTTCCAAAACACCACGTAAGTCTACTGAAGTTGTTAATACTTCTACATTCAGAACACCTGAACAAATCAATTTTCTCGATAATATGTCTTCTGAAGTTGTTAATGCTTCTACGTTCAAAACACCCGAACAAATCCATGTTCTTGATAATATGAATGTCAATACTGCAGAAAGTGTTAGTGTTATTGAAGACTTTTCTTTGCTTGATGATATCTCAATTCCGGGTGTTGGATCATACGTTTCGCTAAGTGACATTTCTGTTTTAAACATAGCCGACATAAACTTGCCTGAGGATCCAAATGCAACCTAAATAACGGTAGCTGAAGTGCATGCTGCCCCGTCGCCATTGTCTCCAAAAAATGATCCATTTAAAAACCGATTGAGATTTCCAATTAGTCAAACTGGAATTCTAAATACTAAGAAAAAGAATATTAATACATTTCCAAGTGCGATATCGTCAGAAGCTTGGAGAGATTTCCACAATTTGAAAGAAAAAGAAAAGCAAAAAAAGATAGACGAAAAAATAAAAGAAAAGTGGAAAAGGAACAAAAAAAATGTGAACCGAAACCAAAAAAACCGAAGATAGTTAATAAGAACAAAAAAGCACTTAATATCCCAAAGAGTAATCAGACTGAAGACGAAAACGAGATTACCAAAGAACAAAACACGGACAATAATATTAAAAATATTGATCAAGATGTAGAAATCAATACTAAGAATACTAATATAGTTATAAATAAGACTGATATTGAAAAGAGTGATTCCGAAAATATTAAAGAAATAAATAAGGAAAATGAGATAAGAGTCATTATTGAAGAAGAGGATGATGATCACGAGTTAGACATTTTTCCGTAATCTCAATATATCTCAAAAATATTGCAATAAAATATTATTGCAATTTTTTTTTAAACCTATGTTCCTACTATTATTTATATTTTTTATAATGAATAATTTAAAGATTTTAATTAAAATCGTTGATTTATTAAGTGTATTTGCTTCTATTACATTATAGAACCTACTGAATAGCAAATAGAGATCATTTTTCATATAGTAGATAGTGGCCGGAAACTAGCAAAATAGTGGCCGGAAACTGCCACAGACAAAATGGCTATTTTCAGATATATTATTTTTTATTTTTTATTAAGACGCTGACGAGTCAAAGGTCTCAAAATATCAAATCTACATGATCTTTTGAGTTCAAAAATAATTTTTAAACTGATCTTCGAATATATGACTAAGGAGAAAAATTGCCACAAAGTCATACATTCACTTAACTGGCCGAAAACCGGCTAAGTCACCCTATTTAATTTCCTGTCGGTTCTTAAACTATTAACTTTTCTATCCTTTGCTATCTTTTCTGCTTGTGTCTGTGCCCGTGATTTCTTCTATTTTTGTCTTTATATATATGTGGGAAACTGTGGAATTTCAATAGACTGTTTTACCGAATTTATTCGTTTCATTTCATCTCCGCGTAGGGTTTCCCATAAAACCAAGTTCAAAGAATAAACATAGATTGACTGACTCTTATATTTGAAATAGATACTATTATCATGATCACCCTGCTACACATGGCTTGACATCAACTTCAAATATGTCAGTTGGTAAATCTTATTATTTCATTTTCAGTTTTAAGGAGTTGGGTCTTTAACAGACTTTAAAAAAAATATTCTGAAACAAAACCTACTCAACCCAACCATCCTACACAGATGTCACTTGTAATTTTTATTATCATATCTTACATCCCTACATTACTAACATCCGGCAATGAATTAGTATAAGGACTTTTAACTGTATATTTTTTTACAGGTCCCTTTTGGTTTATAGGTAGCTACATTATTCTCCAGGTGTTGCAGCAAGAATTGCAAATGCATGCTGTGTTTTACACAATATAGCACATGGAGAAAATATATCGTTCTCTCCTCTTACTGCCGAAGAAGCGACTCGTGAGTGCAGACTGACTCAGCATGCAAGTGTGAGAGATTCTCATATAAGACATGCTTATTCTGTGACAGACCTAGAATTAGGCCGTGCGCGCCGAGAGGCTCCCATAAACCGCTTGTAGTTAGACAGGGCTGTCAATTAAGAAAAACAAAAATATTATTTATAAATACTAAATATTTAGATTTTGTTATGTTTTTTGTTATAATTAAAGATTATAACAAAATAAAATTTAAATATTTAGTTTTTTTTGAACCCATATTAATTTATTCATGGCAAAATTTGCGACTCATCCTATCAATGCTCTCAGCAATTAATTTGAAGGAATCACCAACATCTTAAGCGCTTCTGCATTTCTTAAAGAGGCATTCGCTTTTATCGTTTCTATTTCTAAAATCACAGCTCTAGACTCCTCTAGAGCTGATCTAGAGACTGATGGACGAGAGCGTGGCCGATCTACTAACTGGGACCTTCTGCGACCTCTGATTGTACGTCACTCAGTAAGCAGGGGAGGTGATGGCACTTGTCCTGTCAGGCTAGGTGAAGGCGACAAGACCAATTGGTCTTAATTTATTGTAGGTAAAATATTTATTGGCTCTTCTGCCACTTCTACTTCACCCACAACATTTTCTGCCGCAATGTCTTGCATCACATCTTCATTCATCACCATAATGTCTACCAGTTGGTCCTGGCTAACACCGGGCAGAGGCCCCACAGTCCTACCTAAAATGTTGGCTATCTTTTCTTCGATGGCCGTTAAAGTGGGTGCATTATTCGGGCCGCCTCCTGTTCCTCTTTTATTGACGTTTATATTCACTAATTTTGCACGCACTTTACATTTTTGGTCGTTCCAAACTTTGGACCACTCCTTGGCAGTCCTTGCAGGCCCTTCCGCATTTAAAATTTCGGAAACTTCCTTCCAGTCTCGAAGCAACGGAACGAGCTTCTTTTGACCGGACCCTGCCAAGAGCGAGATCTTTGTGGGCTTCGAGACATCGACTAGGGGTTTTAGCTGACGGACAGTCGTGATACGGCGGCGCTCTTCCATTTCCTCTTTAATTAAACTACTGATAATTTTTGTGTATACAACGAAATTTCTGACTTTTCAGTTGACTGACAGCAACTCAACAATTTGTCAAAATCAAAAGACTAGTGATGTAGTAAAATTACTTAATCGAGCTCTCATTGGTGTCGATTTTGGCGTTATTCTGTAAACTTAAAACTAAATTTAATATCAGTCTCTCCTTTTTATTCTGTGCAAAGACAAGATAGACTAGACAAGGATATACTGTTGTCAAAGTTTAGGTTTAGAGAATCATGCCAGAATCGACACCATTGTCTACTTAAATATTAAATATCACACGTATCATTTGAAATACTATGGGACATCTCTAGAGTTCCTAACACATCTGCGTCCCAGCTTCGTCTGCAGTTCAGTTGACAGATGATAATTAGCGCGATACCGGTTTCGTATAAAGTTGAGTTGCAATTACAATTGGACTAAGATTGAAACTTATTGAACTTAAGCGGATCGTTCAAAATATTAAATAGTGCGATTGGCCTGCTGACCTTTTATTTAAAATGATGTGTTTTTTTGATAGCTTATATTTTCTGAAAAAGATTTTAGTGGATTTTGAAAGTACAAGAAAGACTCCTCATATCTCATTGTTCGAACCCCCTAGCAACAAGCCTTGCCCTATACTTTTTGACATTATTTACATTTTTTATCTTAAAACCCATTTGCTACTTATAGGCTTTGCACTTACAGGTAATTCACAAACTTCTCATGTGTTATTGTCACTCAGAGTCCTAAGTTCCCTAGCGATGGCTGCTCTCCACTTACTGGCATCGCTCCGGCTCATGGCATCACCATATGTGATAGGATCACATTCACTTTGGTGAAGCTGCACCCTATTACACTTGTAGAATACTGTTTGTTTACGCTCACGCTGACACCTTTCCCTTTCTATCCACTTGATTGTTTATGACTTAAAAAAAGTCGGTAGTTTGTCGCACGGTGCTACAGGACCGGTCCGGTCATTCTTATATATAGATTATAGACTTGGCAACATTAATACCTCAAAAAAAATAGAAGAGGCCTGTGATTGGTTATGAAAATATTTTTTGAAGAACTTTACGTCAGTTCACGCCATACTTGTTTTTGTTGTGTGAAGCGATTTGTTTTGACATGCCGTAAGTATTTTGTTATTTAATATTCCTGTTTAGTGTTTCATATCAAAAGGATCTTTATGCCGTGTTTTATTCGATCATATAATTATCTCGTCACAAATTCAATGTCCAGTGTTCAAAATCATAACCAAACCGTAGCCCGTTAAATGTACCGATGTGTTGTTTTTGTTTACAAAAACATTTTGCATGGTTAGTCATGGAATAGGGTATTTGACAGTATTAAAAATAAGGTGCCAAATGTAAGCATCTGTGTTTATAATGAATATTGGCAGGGGTTTTTACTATTTTTTCAAAAACAATATTCTTAATTTTACTAAAATCCCACGAAAAAGATAATAGTTTTCTTATCTATTGTCACGTGACCCAAAACGCTTGGGATTGGCGGAGCTTAAAATGACGTCACACGCTAGTTAGACGCCATATTGTCCAGAGAAACGTTTTCGCAGAAATTTGAAAATGGAGTTTTTGATTTAGTTACTTTTACTGAAATACACAACAAATGATGAATATCCAATAATCTTTTTACGGACTCCATAAACATTATTCAATAACGTGAGATCGTTTTATAAAACTTGTCAAATACCCTATTATACAAAATATGATAATAATACTATAAATGAACAGTGTTTCCAAAAAATAACAATAATCTGTTTACACAGGACATTGATGCAACGCAAAACAGTAAGTTTTATTACGCCATTTTCCAAGGTCAAGGTAACAAGGTCCTGTGGGACCTTGAACCAAACTAGCTTTTTTGCAGGGCTGTCTCACACGCTTATTAACATTTTTATATTGGTGTGTGTTTATGCTGTTTTTTTTTTTATATTATTGAATGTTTTTTTCTTGTTGTTATTGATAACTGTGATTGGTGTGTCGGTAAGGTTTCAACGGTAAGTGACAATATTCACTTACCGTCGAAAGTGAATATTGAAAGGAAAATGGGTTTCTCAAACTGAAATATTTTGGGAACATCATGAAATATAACCGTTTCATTCTGTTGAAAACGGTGTTCCACTTGACCAGCAATACCAGAAAACTTGACTGAAGGTGACATTAAGCTGCGCAAGATACAGCCAGTGCTAAATAGCGTGCAAAAAAAGTTTAGCACTCTGTATCTTCCCTCGCAAAACATCGCTATAGACGAGTCACTCCTTAAGTGGCATGGCCGGTTGAGCTTCTCGCAAAAGATCGCTACTAAAGCCGCTAAGGTTGGTATTAAATCGTACGAACTTTGCGAGTCGTCAACTGGTTACTTATGGAGCTTCTTTGTCTATACCGGCAAAGGAACTAACGACCAGACTAGAGGAACAAGGAACCAGAGACAGACAGATAGACCTAATTGACCCGACAGATATTATAAATAGATCGACAAACGCTGCGGAGACTGACATACAGATTGACCTGACAGATAACCTAATTGACAGATCGACGGACGCTACTGCGACGTCTTTCGGGCCACCACCGCCGTGTAACTCCACAGCCCGTATAGTGCATTAGCTCGCCAAGCCGTTGTTCAAGAAAGGACACACTTTAATCATGAATAACTTCTACAATTCTTCTTTATTGGCGCGTTATTCGAAAAGTCAGGGGACTGACGTTTACGGCACACTTCGCTTAAAGGCCTACACAGAATTTTTACTAATGGACGGACTATGGACGTTTTTACGGTTGAATAACCGTACTGTTACAAAAATACGACATAAATTGCTATGCTTTAAAATGATATCGTGGCATTGAAAGGGATTTTATCGCAAGGCATTAAAAGATGCGCCACAAGCTCCCATAGCGGGATGCTGTGACGAACTGCGGTAGGCAACGACATGCCACGGACTGCGGCGCTCGTAGTGATTGATATACTGCGGGGTGCGGCGGCGGGGGTAGAGAAGCGGGGAATGCACACCATTGACCATCCATTTGCGCCCGCGTCTTTGACGACTGTGTACCTACGTGATTTTTTCGAAGACCAGTTTTTTACGTTTTTTATTCCAACATGGAGGAAATATTAATAACTTTAGTTCAATCCTATGATTATTTATATAATATGTCATCAAAACATTATATGAACACTCAAATGAAGAACAATGCGAACATGCGGACATAATTCGAAACGTTCTTGAAGTATACCAAATGCATTTTCGACGATACGCCTGGCTCTACTCAAACGATAATTGTATATTTTCATTGCTTCATCTGTCAATCGTTCGCCACTAAATGGCCTCATAATGCTTGTGATTAACGGAAAAGCCTCGTCTGCTACAAAAAAACATAGGGCAACTCAAGATCTGTCCTCGGTAAACGTCTTTTTGGGGGAATACCGTATTTTTCTTTCCAAATATTGAGTTTTGCATTATATACCTCCGTCACTATTTCGTCCATATGATCCTACATCTGCAATTACAAATTTATAATTTGCATCCACAACCGCTAGTAGTACGATACTAAAAAAAACTATTTATAGTTTATGTAGACTTCCACTATTGCGAGGTGCCTTTATCCTGAAATGTATATTATTAAGCACAAAAAACAAACCTCGAATTTGGACTCCTCTTCAGAGGATACGTAGACTTCTTTCACAGAATCCGCTGTCGATGACAATGATGAACGGTCAGTTTCGTGAATGACCAATGATTCACACCATTCCTTAATAAGACCAGAACCTACAACAACTGCTGAAATACTAAATAAATACATTGAATCGAAAAAAGAGGTGGATTCGTTCTTTCAAACAGTGGCTGCCACAATAAAAAAAAACTACCAGAAAGAGTGTACGTCCAAATGAAGAGACAAATATTTAATATGGTAACTGACGCCGAATTAAACTACATAGAGGGAACTCCAGCTCCAACATCTGAAGATGTCTCTAGCAATTTACAACATCAACGACCATGCCGTACCGCTTCTACTTCCATCCAGATCTGGCTGTGGAACCGCAGCAGGCTTGGGCTAAAAAGCTGTATCAAGCTACAAAACTGCAGTGTAATCTCAAGTAGTAGGTACTCTAAATTAAGTAAAAACAAATATAGATCCAGCGATTAACAACGAACCATTTTTTCATTTCTTTTCATTTGGAACCCTTACATATTTTGATATAGTGGTCTTAGAAGCCAAGGTTAATATTTCGCGCTGAAAAAATTCATGCGGACAGATTTAAGTGAACGCTCATCAAATTTTCGTGTTAGCAATGAAACCATTTGTAAATTATTCATCAATCATCATCAACAGCCTATCATAGTCCACTGCTGGACATAGGCCTCTCCAAATGCACGCCACTCAGATCGATCTTGGGCTACTCGCATCCAGCTCCTGCCAGCCACCTTGCGCAAATCGTCACTCCATCGTGCCTGAGGACGTCCTACACTACGTTTGCCTAGACGCGGTCTCCACTCCAGAACTCGTCTACCCCAACGGTTATCGGTTCTTCGGCAAATATGGCCAGCCCGCTGCCACTTCAACTTGCTAATCCGGTGGGCTATATCGATAACTCTGGTTCTCTGTCGGATTACCTCATTTCTGATGCGATCTTTCAGAGAAACGCCGAGCATAGCCCTTTCCATAGCGCGCTGAGCGACTTTGAACCTGTGGACCAACTGTGCCGTCAGTGTCCACGTCTCGGCTCCGTATGTTATCACAGGTAGGACGCACTGATTGAAGACTTTCGTCTTTAGGCACTGTGGGATTGACGATGTCAGGACTTGACGTAGCTTTCCAAACGCTGCCCATGTGATGCGTATAACTGGCTGTAGAAGTCTTTCACTTCCGAAAGGACTGCCGGCTTTGAAGCAACAACTTCCCCACTTGCTGTGGTCAACTTCGTCAGATGGTTTCTTCCAAGAGATTGCACGAACACTTTAGACCCTCGATTCTGCTCGATCGCTCTCTCGATCGAGAGAGTATTGGAGCATCGGAGGTCGTGTCGTACGTGCTTACTGATCTCTTGGTTTAGAGTCCGCTTTGCCGATGAAGTGACGGGTGGGTTTTCACGTCGTTCCTTCATTAGCCCTAAAGTCTCTTCCGAAAGCTTTGACTTCCTGCCCTTACGCTGCGTTGCACATAGTCTCGTAGCCTCTTCCCTGAGAATCCGAACCACATTTTCGAGGTTTTGGTTTACGTCTGATGTGGTTTCCACGGCAACAAATCGGTTCTCCAAATTTGACTGGACTCCTTTTAAGGACCAGAGAGCGCCACACGAGAAAAACAGAATAATGAAGATATTATACACAATTTTTTGATATCTTCGGATCCATATATATCTCATCTGAAACCTAAATACGCCAATTTTAAATCATCAAGTATGTTTCCAGAAGCGTTGCAATTATTAATAACAGAAGAAATAATAGAAGTTGAAGATGAAGAAATAGAAGCTCCACAAAATGTGACAGATCCTTTGGAATGATTTTTAAGTTTTCTTATATTAATTTGTATTATTTTGTATGTTTGGTTTACTTGAACTATTTTATTATGTTTTTAATATTCTTGTTTAAGTGTACTTATTTATAATTTTTGAAAATAAAAGTATAAACCACCTTCGATTATTACATTCTATTGTAAGAATTATGCAATAAACAATTTTCAATAATTATTTTATTTTGTAATTTGATGTCTGTGTGATATTGGACTTTCCCAAAACCACTTAACAGACTAAAAAAGTATTGATTCCATGTAATTTTTTATATATAATATATTTTAAGTTAAACTGCACATAAATGCCAAAGCTGCAAGTGCATGCAAAAGATTTGTTGGTGAAATTAATAAATAAATGTAAAACAATAATTTACAAATGGTTTCATTGCTAACACTTTTAAACATTTCGAGAAAAAAAGTATTTCAGTTTCGCTCCATACATTTTTTTCTTAAATATTTGTAACAACCACGTTCTTCCATACGATTAGTTCAACGCACGCTTACTAGATGGCGCTGTACTGTTCTACAACGCAGTATGGTTTTACTTTTTCTTTTACATAAGACCTTTGATGAATATTTGTTTTGTATCCTTACTCAGGTTAGGGACTACTAAGTTGTACAATTAGCTTCCGGCATCGGAACTTTTTGGACGCTCTCGTAGAAACAAGCCAATACAGCACTCGCCTCCGAAAGCTTCCGTTCTCATGGAACTTCCGGTCCGATTGACTTATTGAGCCTACTCGCAAAACAACCACTTTGTGTAGTAGATTAGAACCGCGGAAAGTTACGTTGGCTAATATACGCCCGTTTGGCTTTAAACTCATACGACTTCTTCTTCTTTCCTCCTCCGCCCGCCCCAGCCGAGCAAGACCTCTCACAATCTGGCGCCCAACGGAAATAAGAAAGTACAAAAGTTTGTAGTAACGCGAGCAGGCAGCGACAAACCACGGTCAGACAACGAAGTAATATCGAAGAAACAACCAAGCAAGCGAGCAATATGAGTCTCAGTAACGAGCAATTTAGGGAGCTTTTAGCCGTTATTACATCTGGAAACAGGAAATCTTTTACCATCAATACGACATTTGACGGCAAAAGGCAGACTGAAGCAGTCGAATCTTTTATTGCTGCCGCGAGCATTTTTAAAAAGATGGAGCAAATTTCAGACACGGACGCTCTAGATAGCCTTCCGCTTATTCTAAAGGCAGATGCAGGAATCTGGTGGCAAGGAATAAAAAACCAAGTCTCTAGCTGGTTAGAATTCGAAGAAAGGCTGAGACATGCTTTCGCTCCTAAGAAGCCAGCATTTTGTATCTACCAGGATATTGTTGGTATAAAGCAAAGAAGCAACGAAAGCACGGAGAATTTCGTCGTCCAAAAGCGTGTGCTCATTTCACAATTGCCAAAACCGGAACACACAGAGCAGCAGCAGCTGGATATGGTTTATGGCCAATTGAAAATTAAAAGCCCGGGGTCCGTCGGGGGCTTCGTGGGCTCCTGGGACCTCGACCTCCACATCTTCATCGACCTCGTCCGCCTCGCCGTCGTCACCGCGCGGGCGTTCCAGGACTAGGTCGCGATCCCCGCTTGGGCCCCCTCGTGAGGCTGCCCCCGCCGATCCTGCGCCGCCCCAGCCGCCGCCTTACTGGACCTACTCGCGAGAAAGAAATGCCCGCAGAGTAATGCAGTGTATCCTCTGCGGCATCGTAATTAATAGCCATGTGGGGCGGCACTTCCAGAGACGCCATGCCCCCTACAGGGGATATGAGGCCGCGGGCCCCTGCCCCCGGGGTTTCTACATCCTGGTGATGAGCCGGCTCCCCACGTGTCCCCCGGAGGCCCGTCCCCCCCCCCTCTGCCCTGGAGGGCGTGGCGGGGGTGGATTGGGGGTTCCTGGGGATGGGGGACCGCTGATCGATTTCTCGGAGGACTGCTTTGACATTTATCAGTTTGTTTGTGACATTCTACTATATTAAAGACCCTTTATTACTCTTATAAAATTTGTTTTATTACTGTTATTTGGTCCCCCCCCGCCTCCGACACCAGTCGGTCCGCGGTCCGGGGACCGCGGATTTTCGCGACGTCTGCGGTCCGCGACCCGCGGACCCTACAGGGGATATGAGGCCGCGGGCCCCTGCCCCCGGGGTTTCTACATCCTGGTGATGAGCCGGCTCCCCACGTGTCCCCCGGAGGCCCGTCCCCCCCCCCTCTGCCCTGGAGGGCGTGGCGGGGGTGGATTGGGGGTTCCTGGGGATGGGGGACCGCTGATCGATTTCTCGGAGGACTGCTTTGACATTTATCAGTTTGTTTGTGACATTCTACTATATTAAAGACCCTTTATTACTCTTATAAAATTTGTTTTATTACTGTTATTTGGTCCCCCCCCGCCTCCGACACCAGTCGGTCCGCGGTCCGGGGACCGCGGATTTTCGCGACGTCTGCGGTCCGCGACCCGCGGACCGCGAAGTTCTCGCGGGATCGGCGGTCCTCGGTCCTCGGACCGCGAACTTTTTCGCGGGCTCGATGGTCCGCGATCCGCGGACCGCGAGTATTCCGCGGGGCCGGTGGTTCTCGGTCCTCGGACCGCGAATATTTCGCGATTTTATTGATTGATTCCTCGGTCCTCGGTCCGGGGACCGTGGTCCTCGGTCCGCGGTCCTCGGTCCGCGGTCCGTGGTCCTCGATCCGCGGTCCGTGGTCCTCGGTCCTCGGTCCGTGATCCGTGCATGCGGCCCACAGTGGCCCTATGCAATTGTTTATTGATTATTGCAATTGATTATTGAGATACAAAAAAAAAAAAAAATTGATTGATTGCCAGGGGATGCTGGAAGCAAATAAAGCGGGCATAATAATATGGTATTAAGGAACCTGTTTTAGCTTTCAAGAACTTATTAATATTGTAACAATTTTAGTTACCACCGACTTTTTCAGGGTTTACATGAGACTCAAGATTAAAAGATTCTATATTCAGGGCGCCGTAATACTGTTATTTGAGGGAGATAAATAAAAATGTCAAGAACCGTAGTGAACAAGATATATATTGTTAATATTCAGATCTTATTTCATCATACTTAACAAAATTAATACTATTTATAGACAACTTTATAAATATACAGCTTTTACAACCTCAAAGATTTTAACTTCAGTGATGTTCATACATTCAAGAACATGTGTAAATGCAGAAATATTTATTTAAACATTTTATATAAACATTTGGTTTTGGAAAATAACAAACAATATGTAATGAAATTTGAATTCTTCTTATAGTGGCTTTATAGTTTACTAATATAAATACTTTATTACGTTAAACAGAAATTTTGTTCTTCGGAGTATGCACCGGTTAAATATTGAGAAGGTATAAGTTTTACTTAGCTTTAAGACCACGGGAACATCAAGGTGACTCAAATGTCCTCAGGAATGAATCAGGACGTGCTGTCATCACATGAACCCGTCTACTTTCGATCAAGAATGCTTCACAGGCTCATTTTTATTTATATATATATTTCCAAAGAAATCCCAACCAGGATTAAGTAATTGTGATTATCGTATACTGTTTTTAATTAGCCACTTCAAAGGACCTAGAACCAATTACACATTTTTCTATAATTCAATAAAAAAACTAACTGGACCTACAGCCTAACGAATCAAATGTATTGAACCTACCCGTTAATCCGGGGAGAAATATCAAGTAAATAATGCACTGACTATAGCTTGCCTATGTCACTATGCAAATAACTGGATGCGTCAAGTTTCTATCAGCAAAAGAGACCTAATTCGGCTGCGCACAGCTATTTATAGGGCAGAGGATCACGTGTGCCTGCCAGAAGATTTCGCTTCGATGTCCTAATATGGTGCGAGAAATCATACGGACTGGTTATGCAGGCTCCGCCTATTTAATCTCTTTCCAGAACATTAATGTGACGTCACATCCAATATTGCATTTCATTTAACAAAAAAAATCACACACTAGCTCCATCTAACTTACATTCCAAATGCATCTACTAGGTTCACACATATTGTACTTGTCTGTTGCTTATCAAAGCAGACTACGATATTCAATAATTTATATGCATGATGATAGATGGCGCTAAAAAAAAATAATAATATTTCTACAACTTCATATTCTAAAATTATATTGCTATGTTTTAACATTATTAAATTTAATTGCTACAATATTAATATTAAAATTATAAAACTGCTTAAAGTAAATAAAGTAAATTTCCGCGATGTCGGCGGTCCTCGGTCCTCGGACCGCGGATTTCCCTTGGAGATCGGCGGTCCGTGGTCCGGGGACCGCGAAAATTTTTCGTGGCGTAGCCATCTGCAAGATTTCTCGCGAAGCCAACCTTGAGTAGGGGTGCGGAACTGGGACACTAACACTATCATATTTATCATACTCATCACATCAAATCTACACTCCTCCTCCTCCTCCTACTCGTAACCGGATATGTGACATTCACTCATTATTGCTTCACTGATGCTCGATCCGCGGGGTTCCGCCCATAAAACTGCCTGCCACAACTGTGGTATATGTTGAGAGTACGGTCCTCGGTCCTCGGTCCGTGGTCCTCGGTCCGCGGTCCGTGGTCGGTCCGCGGTCCGTGGTCCTCGGTCCTCGGTCCGCGGCCCGTGGCCATCGGTCCTCGGTCCGATTATTTGTAGCCGTCGACCGGGGGA